TGTCATGCTAAACGAGAAGTACTCCATGAAGGGTCAGTGCAGTTTGGGGCCCGAGGACGTGGCGGCCTACGTTCACGTCGACGACGGCTTGGTGTTGACTGTGGGCCCCGCTTCAGAGGAGCCGAAGTGCGACGAGCTGATGCAGCAGGTCGCGGAAGGCTGGGAGCGCGAGGGGTTTCTGGTCACCGAGCGGGTCGAGGCCGAGGACAACTTGAAGGCCGTGGGGTACCGCGTGCAGAGGTCGCCGCCCGCGCTACGCTTCGACCCGCACAAGGGCTGGCTGCTGCGGGAGAGCTGCCTGTGGCTGCTGGAGGTCGACTGGGTCGACGTGGAGCTGCTGAGGGCGGTCGTAGGCGCCTGGCTGTGGGGCGCCCTCTTGAAGCGGGAGCTGATGTCCGTCCCGCACGCGATCTTCAGCATGATCGAGAAGCACGCCAACCAGGTCATCAGCTGGTGGCCCTCGGCCCGGCGAGAGCTGGAGGCTGTCGATGGAGTGCGTGCTCAACGCTCCGGTGGCGCCGCTGGTCTTTTCGTCCGACGCCGAAGGCTCGAACGAGGACGACTTCGGCGGCTACGGGGTCGTCGGGACCGCCGCGAGCATCGTCGAGCGCGAGGACCTGGTGGCAGCTGGCACGCGGCCGGGCCACACTGTTGCGAGGCTCGATGGCAGGGTCGGCCACCTCAACAGGGCGGACAAGGAGATAGCGAATCGCATCGCCGTCTCCAAGGTGCCGCGGAGTCTGCTTGAGAAGCCTGAATGCGAATGGACTGAGCTGGGATCAGGGCGGTGGCAACGCCCAGACCACATTACGCTGGGCGAGGGCAGGGCGGCGCTCAAGCTGCTCGCAGCGCTCAGCCGCGCCCCAGGGGCGCACGGCTACTTGGTCGCCAACCTGGAGGACAACGAGGGCCTCTCCGCGGCCATGGCCAAGGGCCGCTCGTCAGCTGCTGGACTTAACCTCCTTCTACGTCGACGAGCTGCTCTATGTTTAGCTACAGGTATCATGTTCGTGCTGCCCTGGGTGGACACCAAGCACCAGGTAGCAGATTGGCTGTCACGTCGCAAATGAGGTGGCGTGGGCCGCGGCGCCTAGACCACCACCAAGCGGCACGAGTCAAGCCGCAGACGATCGAGACGTACAGGCGAGAGGCGCGCAGCTTCTCGGAGTGGGCCCTCGCCAACCACCTTAACCCCGTCGGCCCGGACCAGTGGGGCGACGCGTTGGTGGAGTACAAGAATGCATGTGAGTCCTTGCTTACACCGTCCAAGTTGTAATCTATTGGCGGCGGTGGAACTGTTTTCCCTCGAATGAAAGGCGAGCTGAAGTGGGCACATGCGGTGCTGCGAGGCTGGGAGAGGTCTCGAATTATCAAGCACACTGTCCCGCTGGGTAAGGCGCCAGGGAAGCCCCTGTGCATCTATTTGGCGTCCGCAGGCCACGTAAGGCTCGGCCTAGGTCTTGTACTGCAGTGCCACACTGGACTCAGACCGTCGGGGATGCTCGGCCTGCGCCCTCAACACGTTTCCTTTCCTCATCATCGTGCTATCGCCGGAAAGTGTGATCCAGTGGTCCTGGCCTTGGGGGTTCGTTTCGGCACGAAAGCGCAGCGGCCTCAAGTGGCCATGCTCCCTGGAGTTCATTCCGACATCATCGAGGCCCTATGGAGTTGTGTGCAGCAGACCCCTCACGATCAGCCTCTCTTCCCTTGCAGCATCACACAATACCGCACGTTGCTCAAGACAGCCGAAGCGGCGCTGGGGCTTACTGTGGGCTGGGGCCCGCACAGCCCGCGCGCCCGCTGGGCTACCGACTCCCGCGCCGAGGGCGCCCCGTTCGCCGAGACCCGCGAGGGCGGCCGCTGGGTGAGCGACTCGAGCCTCAGGATCTACCTGGACGTTCAGTCAGCCAACGCGGTGCTGACGGACCTCCTCACCGCGGGGCACGAGAAGCAGCTGCGCTGGGCGGCTGGTGGCTGGAAGCACTGCGTACCACACGACCTCTTACGGCCTCCCTACCGCTGAGCATGGCGCCGCAGGTCGGCAGCACGTTCGTGGGCGGTGTGTGTACGCCGCCGGCTTCAGCGAAGAGTTTGACGCCGCCGTCAGCGAGGAGCTCGCGTACGGCTTCACCTGCTCCAGGCGGCCCGAAGTCGCCAGGAGCTAAGTCAGCTTCACCTGCTTCTACGTTGCCAGCAGGTTTGTCACCACCGTCTTCGTGGTCGCTGGTGGGCACGCCGTTTGGGCAGGTTGCAGTTCCCTCGCCTTGGAGCGCGCCGCCCAGCGGGGTCCTCAACCCGTTCGCGGCCAGCGCCGAGGCCGAGGGACCGCCTGTGGCCGCGCCGCCGCCGCCCCACCCGAGGCGGCCGCGCCCCTCGCCGTGGCGGAAGGGCCTGGCAGGCCTGTTCAGCGTGGGCCGCGCCTGGTGTCTGTCGCCGGGCGCCGTGCTGCTGCTGGCGCTGTGGATCAGCCCGCCGAGCTTCTCGCCCACGCTGGCCAAGGGGGTGGGCGCCGTCATCAGCCTCTCCGAGGACATCGCCGACGCGGGAGGTGTCCTTACGAAGGCGGCGTCCAACGTCACGGTGCTGGTGACCGACATGGCCGTGAAGTTTGGCCGCGGTGGCTTGTCAGCTTTGGAGGAGACCTGGGAAGGCGTCGACCTCCTCAACGCCTCCGTGAATGCGACGGGAGGGCGCTACATCATGCTGCTGGGCGCTCGCAACTCAGTTCAGACTGCTGCGCTTTCGGATGCACTTCATCAGTTACCTGAGGATCGGGCCGCTGAGATCTGGAAGGCACTGGATCGGGTCGGCCCGACGCTTCCTTCTCTTGCGAAGTCTGAGCAGAAGTTTATGGCGATTCACAAGTTTGAAATCTTTGAGTATGAGGTGACGCTTCTCTCTACGTATTTTGTGGGAGTCAGATTCACTTGGTCGGCTCTCGTTTTCAAGCCAGTGTGGGCGAATCCAATGTGGGAGTGGTTCGGAGCCGATGTGAGCGCGCAGCTGGAACGTATTTCCGACAGAGTTCGATCGTGCACGGAAGCAGCGATCGACCTAGACTGGCTGCGCGTGCCCCTCCACAAGTCCGACATTCCAGCCGGCTCTTTCCCGCCCTTCTGGTTTCGCTACTGGATGCAAGTGAAGTCTGCCTTTCAGTACGCACGTCTAGCTGGCGGGAATGGGCTGTGATGGTGAACTGCTTGATATGCAGAGAGTACACGAGTGGGATTTGGGATTCAGTGGAGTGTCATGTGTATACCATCACAGCCCGAGGGGATCTCTGCAAGGACCAGAGTACAATACGCGTTGCATCCTTTTCAGTTCTCTGTGCGGTGTTGGCCTCTCGCTCGCAGGCCAGTTACTGCAATCAAGATTGGATTCGTGTGGTCACGCATCCTGCTGCTGAAAAGTTCCTCGCTCTCGATTGCTTTCATGTCCACCCTTTGTCCGACGGCGACGTAATCCTGAGGGCTTCGCCCAACTGCACGTCCTGCCGTCTTGGGTGGGCGGGTGAGGACAGATACCGGATCAGCTAAACACGGGGATCCACATTATTGGAGAATGAGGTCTCTGAATGTTACTTAATGCGAAGTGAGTGCGATCTCCCCCTTCGTAGTTTTTTCTGGGCCCCCCCCGTATGCACTAATGATTTCGTCCAGCGGTAGGATAGTGGAGTGTCCGTTTCGTGCATTCTTCCCTGCCCTGGGTGATGATACGCCACTCAGGGATCTCTGCAGGAACCAGAGTACAATACGCGTTGCATCCTTTTCAGTTCTCTGTGCGGTGTTAACCTCTCGCTCGCAGGCCGGTTACTGCAATCAAGATTGGATTCGTGTAATCACGCATCCTGCTGCTGAAAAGTTCCTCGCTCTCGATTGCTTTCATGTTCACCCTTTGTCCGACGGCGACGTAATCCTGAGGGCTTCGCCCAACTGCACGTCCTGCCGTCTTGGGTGGGCGGGTGAGGACAGATACCGGATCAGCTAAACAAGGGGATCCACATTATGATGATGATGATGATGATGATGATGATGATGATGATGTTGATGATGATATTGATGATGATGAGGATGAGGATGATAATGGTGATGATGCTGATGGTGATGATGATGGTGCTGATAATGATTATGATGGTAATGATGATGATGATGATGATGATGATGATGATGATGATGATGATGATGATGATGATGGTGATGGTGATGGTGATGGTGGTGATGATAATGATGCTGATGATGATGCTGATGTTGTTGTTGTTGCTGATGATGATGATGATGACGACCCGTGTTGTTGTTGATGACGCTGGTGATCGATCGGGAGAGATCGATTGTGAATTGATCGATCAGGTCCCTAGGAAGAGGGACGAATGGTACCAAGTCGCCAAAGAACGAAGGGTGATGTAAACAACCCGACACCGACGCTACCAAGAGCGAGCGGCAACGCAACACTCTCCATTGGCATCGTCACAACAACAATCACAACTGTTGCCCATTGCTGGGACCCTCCCCCCCAACCTCCTTATCACCCGCAGGGTGGCCGTATAGGCTGTATAGGTAGATAATGACATCCTGTGTGTAAGCAAATGCATTGAAAGGGCGGGACATTTCGCGGTCGGAGCCGGGGGAGAGAGGAGAGCAGCACTCAGATGAACAATGTGTGGAGGAAGTGGGAGGGCGAAAGGGAAGAGGAGAGGGAAGAGAGGGGAAACTGGCAAGGGTTTAGCATCCGTCTCTGCTGCGCAACTCGCGCTGGACCGTCCACAATCTCCCCTGACGTTCCTACGGACCTCTGAATGCACCTCTGGTTGCGTGGGTTTGCAGCGGGTTGCGTCGACTTGCACCGATGCATCTGGCCCAATTCCCGCATTTCGACCAAACAATAGTCGTCAAGCTCTTGGGTGGGAGGAACGGGGGGGGCCAAGAGGAGGACGAGGGCGGGACACGGCGGGGGGACAACAAAACGGGAACGCGCGGGGCGGTCGCGCGGGGAAGGCCGCTCGCCTCGGGGTGACGAAGTTGACAAACGCGTGCCCCTGACGGGTCAGCTCGCAGAATGGCCCATCCACCCACCCTGTGCCAAAACTTGAAGTTCCTACACCCACTTCCTTGTTGTGCTGCTTCATGTTTACTCATATCCTTTTTGTTCCGTCTGCCCCCTGGTGAAAATACGGGAGGATTTTAAGGCAAATGGAACTTGAACCAAACGCCCGCGGCGTGGCATGTTATACAAACAAGCCTTAAGAGTAAATTCGCAGTTCTGTTACACGGCATCTCCTGCAAGGGACAAGGGCCCCAAAACGAACACACACCCCTTCGACCGAGGCCTGGGCGGCAAAGGTGCGGAGGTGCGGGCATCAATCATCATCACATAGAAACGATTGTCTAGTACGCAAACTATGAGGGGCATAGCGCAACTCGATTCCGACTGTAATTAATTCGAAGACCATGACAGGCGCAGGGGGGGGGGGGGGGGGGGAAAAAAAAAAAAAAAAAAAAAAAAAAAAAAAAAAAAAAAAAAAAAACAAAAAAAAAAAACGATAAAGGTTTGGGCGCGAACGCGCAGGGGGGGCCCAACACGCTACGTTCAATTTTAGGTGCCGCAAAGCACCAACTCATGCACACATATAGTTCGCATTTACAATTGCATGGCCCGACACCACACTGACAAACACCCGGATAGATCTCTACTGATCCCGAGATCAAATCTCGGCAAAACGGCTCGCGATGATAACCCGATATGGACTAGACTGAGCTAACACTTGGTAAGACGTGCCGAATCACGTTTCCCCTAAGCAAGATGTTGGCCGACACCTTCCATCTGCTCAGACATGCTGTCTCTGCTCGCATACTTCGTCAGAACATCTGCAAAATCCCCATGGGTTTCTCCTATGATCACTTTGATGTCTCCTCGTCGAACCATCTCTTGTAAGCAAAGCTGACAGACCTTTTTTCCCCAGCCCGCGCCTGCTCGCAATGGCAGCGGCTACACTCGCATCTCTCTTCGGCGAAATACCGCAATCAATATCGAAGTCCATGGGCCTCTTCCAAACCTAGCGCCACTGAGGCCGCACGAGCGAATCCGCAAACACTTCGCGTCCAGAAGATACTACACATACACTCTGAGTCGAACTCCGCTCTATCATGCGCGCCCTCGACATGACTGTTCATCCGATTGTCCAGTGATGCGCCCTCTTGCATCCTGCATAGTCGGCCTCTGTCCACGCAGTTAACTCCCTGGGGCGTTCGCGATACAGATACTGAGAAACCGCACCTGTTGTGGTTCCTGAAGCGCTGACCTAAACCTACCGCGAGTTGGCTCCGACGCGCGCCCAGCGAGATTTCTGCTGAAAACTGCGTATCCGAGCGGTCGCGCGCCAGATATTGCCGCGGTCCCTCGGACTTGGCATTTCCCAAATTCGCGACTCGGCAATCGCCCCTCGTCTTCTTCTTCGCATCACCTAAAACCCCGCATCTGAGAGAGCCCGCCCGCGGCGCGCCCCAACGGATGGGGGGGGCCCGCGCTGCCCCCCTCGAGACCTGCGCTGCAGGCCCCCCCCCTCCTCTTCCGCCCCTCGGAAGCCCCCCCCCCCCCCCCCCCCCCTTTCGCGCGCCGGAAGCTGCCCCCCCGTCCGAAAGGCGGACGGGCAGAGCCCCCCCTCTTCCTTCCCCCCCGCCCCCCAGAAGCCCCCCCCCCTGTCCCGCGCCGGAAGCTGCCCCCCCCCCCCCCCCACCGACAGGACGGGCATGGCTATTTTGCCCCCCTTCGAACCCCCCGCTGGACCCCACCCCCCCTTTCGGGCGGCGGGGGGGGCAAGAGTTCGGACCCGCGCGCCCCCGGCTAGAAGAACGAGCGCCGAATATGTCATATTCTAAAATATATAAAAAAAAAAAAAAAAAAAAAAAAAAAAAAAAAAAAAAAAAAAAAAAAAAAAAAAAAAGCGCCAAAATCAACGAGCCACCGACAAACAGGGGGGCGCGAAAAACAGCGGGCGCCGGAAACCAAGGACACGCCGAAAACAAAAAAAAGGCACCGAAAATCAAAACGGCGCCGAAAACCACGCGGGGCACCGACCGAACCAGTTGGTAGTCGGCGCCGAAAACGCGCGCCGACCAAATCAAAGACGAGAACCCAAGGCGCGCCGAGAACCAAAAGAACGCCGAAAAGCAAGGCGGCGCCGCGGCGCCGAAAACCAAGAAGCGCCGAACACCGACAGAACGCCAAAAACCGGAGAACCAACAGGCGACGAAAACCAAACAGCACCGAAAACCAGAGCAGCGCCGCGCACCAAAATGGCGCCGAAAACAAGAAACACCACCTGCCAAAAGGGCGCCAAAAACGAAAGGGGCCTCCGAACTTGAAAAGGGCACCAGAAATCGAAGCGGCGCCAGAAAACAATCGGGAGTCGACAACCCAAGGGTCGCCAAAAACACACAGGGCACCAAAAACAAGAACACTGCCAAAACCTAGGGAGCGCCCAAAAAAAATAAAGTACACCGAAAACCACAAGGAGGCCCGCGAACCAGAGGAGCGCCGAAAATCTCAAGGGGGCCAGAAACCACAATGGCGCCAGGAAGCAAGGGGGCGCCAAAAACCGAAAGAGCGCCGAAAACCAAGAGGGAACCGAAAAACCATGGAGGCACAGAAAACCAACAAAGCGCCGAACGCAGCAAGGCGCATCGAAAACCAAAGATGCGCGGGAAACCAAAAGGACACCGACAACCAGGGGGGCGCCGAAAACTACGAGAGCACCGAAAACCAAGAGGGCGCCGAACGCCCAAGGGGCGCCGAACGCCCAAGGGGCGCCGAAAACTTAAAAAAACGAAAACCATGAGGGCGCCGACAAACCAGAGCGGCGCCGATAGCCAACAGGACGCCGAAAACGACAGGGGCGTCGAAAAGAACAACAGCTCCGAAGACCGACGAGGCGCCGGAAACAAAAAGGGCGCCGAACACCAAAAAAGCGCTTGAACCCGGGGGCGCCGAAAAGCAAGCGGACGCCAAAACCCGGAGAGGCGCCGGAAAACATGGGGGCGCCGAAACCCAACGACGCGCTGGAAGCCAAAATGGCGTCGAATAGCCATAGACGCGCCAGCGTCGCGGGCGTCGAATCGAAAACCACAAGGCGTCGGTGACCACACGGCGCCAACAACGCAACGCGCGCAGATTGCCGGAGGCGCCCAGAACCAAATAGACGCCGTAGGCCAAAGGAAAAAAACAAAAACCTAGAAGGAACCCCAGAAGACAACGCGCCAGAGACCATGCATCGAGGGCGCGTAGAAAACCAAAAAGGGCGCCGAAAACCACGAGGAGCGCCGAAAACCACACGGGCGCCAAAAACCCAAAAGGCGCCGCAAACCGAAGGAGCGCCGAAAACCAAGGCAGCGCCACATGCCCAAAACGCGTCGGGAACCAAAGAGGCGCCGAGAACCGAAGAAACAACAGAAACACAAGTGCGCCGCAAACCAACAGGGCGCAAGAAACCACGAGAGATGAACACCTTCGAAACCACCCTTCAGCCCACCCCTCCGGCCAGAAAAGCCAACGGAAGGAGAGGGGGGGCTTCGGGCGCCCCCCATTGGAAAGGGAAGCCCGGGCTCGCCCCGGGCCCTGGAAAGGCGGACGGCCCCCGAGCCCCCCCCCGCTTCAGCCAGGCGCCCCCTCGCCACACGATCGAAAGAAAACCAATGGAGGGAATAGCTCCGGAAGCCCCCCCGCCCCCGCGAGGAGAGAGCCCCGTCTGGCCCTGGGCCCTGACCGCGGGGGGGGGGCCAGGCCCCGCCCCCCTTTCGCGGGCCCTCCCCCGCTAACCCGCCGAAGGGAAGCAGGGGGGGCGGGCTTCGGCCCCCCCCCCCCTCGCCAGAAGCCCAGGCGGGGGAAGAGGCAGCTCGAAGCCAGCCCCCCCTTTTCGTGAGAAATGCGCCACAAGCGCGCTCTTTCCCATATCTCACTTCGCGCCGGCCCAGGCCAACCTCTCTGGCGCACGCCTCAAGGCGCCATTGATCCGCCCCGCGCAATGGCCCATCCTGGCCCCCCTCGACGGGCCCGCCCCGGAGTTAACATCGAATTGATTCTAGATTTCTTCTTCGAGCCAGTGACGACCCACCGTCAACCAAATTCGCCCCGTCTCATGATTAACGCATGCGGCGATGCCACCCCGCCGTTGTAACCAGCACCCCGCCCGCGCCCGCGCGACAGTCTTCCCCGATGCTGGCGGCGCCTGGGGCGGCGCGCACTGCTTGGACAAGTCCTCCGCGCGCGCCCTGTTACTGGCGCTGGTGGCGCTATAACAAATAAATGAGCAGCGCGCTGACGAGCGACGTAGATGCTCGAGTGAACACGCAAGAGACCATTGGCGAGCAGCAGGTTGGCGACGACGCTGGTTCATTGCTGCCTCGGCGTAGAAGCATGCGCGCTCGACGTCTAGAAACCCAACTTCGAAGCCCCCCCCGCGCCCCCTCGGCCGCGCCACTCCCCTTCGGCGCCCGACATGGAGAGCAGCAACTCTGGGGCTTCAACGAAGAGGTGGCTGCGAATGCGCCCGTTTCTTTGGAGTCGCGCTGAACTCGCTCAGCCAGCAGCTGGGGCCCGCGCTCAGGATTGGCCTCGCCGCTCTTTTCGATGTCAACCCACCTCATACTCATGGGCGATTTCCAGCAGCGGCCCAGCACCGCCCCCCCTGCGCTGCCCCATAGACCTCGCGACTCCTGCACCGATCCACCTCCTCATCCCGAGCCTTGCACGTGACTTCTGAATCAGGCTCATTTCCTGACGCGTCGCCCCGCGCCATCTTCGCGGTGAATCACGCCTGCGCCCCCCCTGGTTACTGGGCGCAATTCTGCAGCGCATCCACGCGCCTCGCGCGCCCCTGGAACTCTCAACCACTCCTGGCGTCGGCAGGCCCCGCATATCCACCGACGCGGCTGAGTGCCCAGGGCAGCGCGGCGGGCGAAGCAAGCGACGACGTCGCGAGCTCTTCCTCTGAACCTTCTCCCCCGCCTCTTCCTTTCACCGACCCCCCTGTCCTCGAGCTCT